ACACACACACACACAGAGAACCCCGTGACAAAATGCGTTTTGTGTAGTTGTTGTACAGCACAAAATGCATAAAAACAAAACAAGTCCTGTTATGCTTGAACTCCAATTACACTTTATTTTTTAAAAGAGGTGAAGCACAATTGCTTATGGCCCGAATGAGCGCACCCTATCAGCAGCATTACTTCTTGACGAGTATATACCAGCTGACTTTATGTGCAAGCACTAGCTGAAGTGGCGAAAATAGTGCAGAAGAACCACCTGATGATGGAACTACAGGAAGATAAAGTGAAGGGTGGTAGTGAGCATTCACACTCTTGCTACCTAAAATGTGCTGAAAAAGATATTAAAAATTCTTTCCAACTGCTAAAAATAACCCAGGCTGGAAAGTACCGGGCGGGCCCGTACGACCTTGTGTTTTTGCGTCGGACTTGAATCACTCAGGTCATTAACTGTATGAATGGCTGTTGCTTTACACCCACCTTTTGTGGTCACTAGCATAAATCACCATAAATCTTGCATAAAATAAATGTACAACTTCCATTCAACGGCCGTTCTTTAAAAGTAACCTAGCTGTTCAGTGAGAAATCTTCTCCTCAAGACTTTTAAGTGCCCGCTCGTAAGAACCACGCATGCCTCAAGGCTGAATTTGAAATACTTAAGTTGCACTTTGACAGGGAACATTCCCTCAAAATTTCAGCTTTTTAGCTTTTCTAGTTACCGAGTTAGCAATTTTCCCGCCAAAATCTTCGCATACCCGTATTTGGGTACTCCACGTGCTTGGAAAGCTGGATTTGAAATTTTTAAATTGCACTGGACAGGGAACATCCGCCTAAAATTTCAGTCTCCCAGCTCTTCTGGTTGCCCAATTAATAATTTTCCTGCAGAAACTTTCATATTTTCTTACGTGAGTACCATGCATAGCTTGGGGCTGAATTTGAAATATTTGAGTTGTTCTTCGATAAGAACATACCCCCAAAATTTCAGCTTTCTAGCTTTCCTCGTACCCGAGTTAGCAATTTTCCTCCTAAAATTTTCATACGCCATTACATGAGTACCACTTATACCTGGGGGCTGAATTTGAAATTTTAGCTAGCACATGCACAAGGAATACTCCAACAAAGTTTCAGCCCCTTAGCTCATGTGGTTCCCGCATTCCCGCCAAAAAATTTGCATATTTTTTTAAAGCGTCCGTACGCGGCATCCAGGCGTCCGAGGGAAATGAAACTAAAAAGAGAGGGCCGCGCATGGTATAGGGAAATATTCCCAAAGTTTCAGCCTTCTAGCTTTTCTGGTTCTCGAATTGAAAGTGGTGACAAAAAGTGTGAACACGCAGACACACACACACACACACAGCCTCTTCCTAACACGCGTTTTTGCAATCTGCATACATGCAGAAACGCACAAAAAGACAGAAGACAAGGAGATTTGTAAAATTTGAAGTGCTTTAAAAAGGGCACACTTTAAACTGCATTTAATTATTACAAAATCCGGGGACATACGTGCGATAACGTGTAGAAAAGCAGACCGATAGGCGATATCACCATGAGCATTTGTTACGACACACAGATAGGTCCCGGAATGTTCCAGTCGTACATTCGGTATAATTAGCCTATTCAAGGTTATTCCTTCTGTGAGTTCAGCACTTGTTTCTGGCTTCTCCAGAAGTAATAGGTGCATATTGTTTGCATGGATCAGCGTTGCATTTGCATTTGCTCGCCGTGCAGCATTTGGATCTTCCACACGCTTCAGCCACTAAAGTAGCAATTAATTAGCCTGCTTCTGCTTTGATTTTTCAGACAAATGGTTTAAATTCCTGGTGGAACCCGGTTACTAAGAGTCAAATTTTACACACAGTAGTCCTACCAGTAAAAAACTGATTAAGGTAAAGCCTAACTATTGAGTCAAATTTTGTCATGTGGATAAGTTTTGCACATTGAAAATGAGGGGCATTCATTATGCATATAATAAAGTGCTGAAAAAATGTCAATATCATAAGCAAGGGTGCAGCAGCAACGTGAATCATCACCTGTTAACAGAAATTCCAGACAACTACAGGTGTGAATCTCACATAATCTGTTACTGTCACGAGAAACAATTTGATCATTTGTAAACATTAAGTAGTGCATAAACGCACTACTGATGTTCTGGCTTCTAAAATTGCGTTGTGAGTCAAAGAATCGCCTCCGAGGAGAAAAATGGAGCAGACAATCAGTGAAGTGAAAACCTTGATCAAAGGCTGCTGTTGATTTTTCACTTTACACTGAAACTGGGCAGTGTGGCCCACACGGACGGTATTATTGAACGGCTTATCGATAACTGGATAAAGGTGCGCTTTGCTCTGATCAATGGACCAGCTTTCGCCATCCAGGCCTTCAAAAAAATTCTCCACGAAGACGTGGAATACTGCTTGGATGCTGCCGTGCTCATTGTCCAATTTGCAGACATATTCTCCACCTTCACTGGGTTGCACATCACTTATATAAAGCAATGCTGTGGTGTGATGATAGGCAATTTCTGCAAACATTGCAAAATCAGAAACAAAAACATAAACAATTTTTTAAAAAATGGCTTATAATACTCAAAACTATTTAAAAACATTCTCGAAGTACATGGACGCAAAATGCTTATTTAGCTCTTATTTATCTGAAGTCTGAACCGACTACCAGCCCATCGCTGATCTGTCTGGGGTGTAGCCGACAACAATGTCTTCCTTTGTTTGTTTTGAACAACGGAATGAAGGAAGAAAATAGAAGAAAGAAACCGCAGGCAGATCAGCGATGAACTGGTAGCCGTTTCAAGTATCAAATAAATATAAGTAAGCATCTCGAACCCAGATAGTTTTTCCTTCTCCTGGAAGAAAAACACGCAAGTTTTTTTTGGTTAAATGTAGAGTGCTGGGACTGTGCAGGAATGTTCTCTGCCCATGTATGAGTTAAAGATTTCAAATTCAACTATCGGGCGTGTTTGCGTCACGGTGACGCCAAATTTTGCAAGCTTGTACCGTGTCAACTCGAAAACTAGCCAGAAAATAGTGGCTGTAATTTTCTCAATACATTTATTGCCCATCTTGGAAATCGTATATTAAATGGAGTTTTGAATAGCAATTGCTCCACACCTTGGGGCACGTCAAAAATATTTGTAGCGAAGTGACGATTTCAGGTATTAGACAAAGGCTGGAACGCACCAGGTGAGCCAGTGCGATCATGCGTTTTTGCATCAAAACTAAAGTAAAAGTATTGTCCGAGCGTTCGTTTCCAAAAA